TCCGCGGTGCCTGGTGAGTAAGTATCGATAAGTGAATGACATGACGTTAGAATAGCGTGGTTGTGAAATTACGGCTTTAATGTATCGGAAATCACCATCGCTACGATTGACGGTCATCGAGTCCAAAGCTCAGTTTGCTACCCAGACTTCATGGCGGACGTTACCCGGGAATGGTTTATTTTAAGCTAATTTCAAGAGCGTCGTCGCGAAAATTGTCTGCTCGCTTCGCTCGCAGAAAACCCTCGTCTGTGTCTTTGCACAATGTTCAACATTTTTCCCTCGTTTTGAGATTTGTTAAGAAAAGTCCTTCACGTTCTTGAGACCAAGAGCGGATTTAAGGTAATTTCAATTTGCTTCAATTCCTTCAATTTGCTTCGTTAGATACCTTTCACTCCTGGATCACGTTCGATTAAAGCCATGCAGCAATCACTGTCAATCAAAATCATACGAAAAAATTCAACTCAATAAATGATAGCATGTAAATAAAAAGGAAAGGTCAAGAACAAAGCCAGGGTCAGGGGCTAGCAGCCACATTTTCCCAACCGTTCTCCTTGGAGCAAAATCCACGAGAAGCATTTCAGAATCCAGTTCTTTTAAGAATTGTATTACTTCAGCATTTTAGTTTTTTATTTTATTGGGAATGTCTCTATCTTATCAACACTATCACTGGGGGTGGAGGTGAATCTGCCTTCAGTCTCTATGTTAAAAGGGGCCTTGTTTTTCTGTTTTAAGACATTAAGTTCAAGTTCAAATTATTGAACTTGGCCCCGTCGCTAGATATGTCAAGCCACAGAATAGGAAATAGGCAGAAGGGAACTCTAGTCGGTTCCTTTGTTGTTTTTGAAGCCTGAGTCAACAATAGAATTCCTTCATTCTCCTTTAACCTCGATTTAGACGAACTTAGCCATTAAAAATTATCATTCATCAATCAGATATAAACGAATTATGATATATTATTGAATTTGTTCACTATCATGGGGCATATCGTCTCAAATAAAGTTACTTTCATTCTTTTTTAAAATTTCCCCGACAGATGCATGCTAAGCCTGGTATAAGTTAATGCATGCGCTAGTTTTTCAGGCTAAACCAATGAGGTAAAAATAAACACTAGAGTGCGAACTCCCATTGGTTTCCGTTGACGCGAGTGAGGCCGTCATGCGCACGGCTACCATTTTGAATGCATGGCAAAAGACAACAAATAAGTGTGGAGGACGACTGTTTGTGCTACTGGAGAAACAGAAGGAAAAGGCTTTTTTTATTTCATTTTCGACAAAATTGTGCAAATTTAAGCAAAGCAGTGCCGAGGAAGACCTTTTGCAATGATTTCTATGGGAGGTAAGTTGTTTTAACTACACGTCCAATGCACTGAATGTGCATAGGCTTCAGTGCATTGCCTACCTTAATAAACCAAACTAGCTTCGAAGCGAATTACTTTATAAAATATTTCACTTAAAATGAAGGATTTAATATTTGGCGAAAAACTTCTAAACGAAACATTTGAAGCAAACAGCAAAAGCTATGGTTTTTTAAGTTTATGTGTTTTTAAACAAAACTAATTTGTTCATCCGGTGTCGTAAACTTGGTGTGTTTTTCATTACTATCTGCCTTGTGTAATGCTTGGCGTAAGTTTGCATACGCAGAAGGAAGTATTTCTCGCAAATTTTCTTCACAACTTGTGTGAGATGATCATCCTCAAAGACTGGGTCGATTTCGTGTGCATGTTTGGAAAACGATGGAAATAATTTGCTTAGGTTTTCGCCTTGACTTCGTAGCACGCCGTTCGTCATTCTCCGTATCAATCCAACTTGTGAATTGATTTTCATGTCTCCCTTCCTTGTACCTTTAACTCTCTCCCGGAATGATTTCTCGCATAATGTGATTAATTTGTGCACCCCAAATGATACTTTTATAAGCCCTCCATTGTTCTTTCTATCCAGAAACAGGGAAAATGGTGCTGTCACATAGTCATGTTCCTCTGACATGCAATTGAGAATGAGGGCTTCAGAACATTGAGAGCAATCAAGCTTTTTGATGATACGACGAACAATGAATCCTGCAATGTAGTATATGATGTTTTCAGAGAAGTTTGACAAGGAAATCCTATCAAGACTCTCAGACAAAGCATTTGCGTCCTCATCAGTCATTTCATCATCATTGCTTGGATATTCGCATATGGGAGATCTATGCTTTGTCCACTTTAAACTGAATAAAGAACCTGTGCAATTCTCATCAAATGACATGACATTAGCCTGGCTCGATGCAACAATTGAATTCTTAAGCAGCAAATTCCTTATGGCATACTTAAACTGTAAGGTGTTTGGATTGTTATTATTACCACCTCGTCCTCGGATACAAGCAAACAGCAACTCTATGTGGTCTTGGGAAAACTTGTAAGTTAATACATAGTTAAATGGCCTTTCTGGTGCAGTTAAGAGTTCCTTTGCAATTGACATAATAGATTTCATTGTCATTAGAAAACCAAGTATGAAAGTTTTGCGTCTACTGAACACAAGCAATTGCCTTTCACTGGATTTCAAGGACAGAAGATACTCTGCTGATTGGGCAAAAGTTTGCTCGATATATTCAAGGTTTTGCAACCTTATTGGGCGTTTAAAGCCTTTGGCAAATGCAAACCGTGAATTGAGGATGTCAAAAATTTTATCAATTGTTCTTATGAAGACAATAGTTGCACTAGCATTTTCGAATTCAGCATGTTTTAAGTCTGTCTTTAAGAATTCTAATGCATTAGCAACTGATGAGCTCAGTGTCTGAGCTGCATATTTTACTTTCATTTTATGCTGCTGCCAATGCACATGGTTTACATTAATTTTGTTTGCCAAAGTTAAACCTTCCTCTTCTTGCATCTTGCATAATTTTTCAATATATTCCCAAGAAATAATATCCCCAGAATTTGTAGAAAATTTCCCATATTCGCCCAATGTATTTCTCGCTAGCTTAACCATGTGGCATGCATCTAGAACTCCATAAACATCATATGGCCTAGTCGGGTGTTGGAAAGAGGCTATCATGCCATCATAATTTGGTGTGAATGAGCAACCAAGTAACCTAAGTGTTTCAAGGTTAGCAGATGTGCCATCACAAGTTAGTGACCAAACCCTAAAGCCATAATCAGCAACCAAGGACAATGCACTCTTAACTAGTGATGCCTGTATTTGCCCGTTTAACTTATTTGTAAAGAAATATCCTATTGGACATTTCCAGTGACTTCTCAGACCAACAAGAAGAAATGCTAGGGCTTCAGAAGCTTGGTCTTCACTGTTTTCCGGGATGCAACCTCCATAATCAACAAAGCCTGAAAATTTCTGATTGCCCTTGTCATAAATCACTTGCTTCCTTATGGCCATTGCATCTATCATTAAGGCACAGTCAGACATGTTTGTGTTGTTGGCAAGCTGAGCAGCAAGATTTTCTAGAACATCTTTGAAAAATCCAGGCTCACAGTTCACAGAAGACTGCCAATTTCTTAAAGAAGATGGATGTGGTAGGTCAAAGACTTTCCTCATGAATAGATATGCCTTAGGCGAATAGAAATGAAGGGTTAAGGCAAACTTCTTAATCTCCTCGTGGTATCTCTTACCCCCAGCTTTTCGCTTTGAATTCTTTATTTGATTTTCAAACATTGTCAAAGTGAGGCCAGAGAATTGGTCTTTCAGAAGTTTGGCTGGCTCTTCTCTGAGGAGATTTTTGTCTGTCATAGCTTGAATTAAATCATTCAATGACTTTATTTTCTTGTTTTTTCTTCTTAGATTTTGTTGTAGAGTTTTAATCTTCCTTCTAAGTCTTAATTTTGTTGGTGATTGTTTTGTTTCAGCTTTTTTACAATAAGAATGTTCCTTGATATTAAATGTGGCATTTTTTGTGTTTTTTGCTGGGCTTGCTTTCTTCTTTACTGGTTTTGCATAGATAATGGAGCGGCGGGCCTTTTTTACTTTTGGTAGTAAATGAGGGGGGAAGTTAAATTTTGATGGAACAGCTGACTTTTTTAATTTTGTGTAAGGGTGACCAGGGGGGACAGTGTAGTCAGTGAGCAAAAAGTGTTCGCTGCAAATGTAGCTGTACTTTGATGGGGCCCACTTATCACGCCTCATAGCTTTAACCCATTGCAAACGGAGTGCTTCATTGGCTGGAAACCTGCAGTATAATGCAATGCATATTAATTTCAACTATTTTTTGTGTTGAAATTTTGAAACATAAAATTACAAAATTTAAAGGATTTTAGATGTTTCGAAGTTTGCTTTATTAGGATTTATTTACTAAACGCTTTTCAAAATCCTCTAGCAAAAGTCATGTACAAACCAATTAATACATACATAAAACTTAACTTGCATTAAAGAAAAGTTGTATTTTCTCCGCCGACAAAAGAATATCAAAACCATTTTAAAGTTCACCATATAGAAATAGGGACGATAAAAAAATTCCCAGCCGCGAGGCTCTTCGCATAGTATGACATTTCACATTTTTAGGCCAAAACATGCATGGCATACCGTACCTATGAAACGCGATAGGTTTTCCGTTTCCCAAAGGATCCATTGAAGGATCACTGCTCAAAACATTTTTGCCGTATCTATTTTGGCATCCGTACGCCGTACACGAAATTACCATTGCGGTTTAGAAACATCAATATTGCCGAAAAGCTGGCGACGCGTAATGACTACCGTACTGCATGGAACTTTTTTGCCATGCATTCAAAATGGTAGCCGTGCGCATGCTGGCCTCGGGCCTCGATTAGGAGTTCGCACTCTAGTGTTTATTTTTACCTCATTGGGCTAAACCTGATAGGCAGGAGTTCCCCTTCTGCCGCTCTCAATTTGCTGACTGATTGACGTGGCTTATTATTGACGTGGCTTTTCAATGCATGAGCTTCTTGTCGAGAGAATCAATTTTCCTGATTGACATTTCTCGTAACCATTGACGATATCTAAAACAAAAGTTGATCTTATTCCAAAAAGGGTAATTCTGGGCCGTCCAGAGGCTGGCCTTATTTGGAGGGAGGGGGATGTTTGTATACAACGAATTCATCTGATTAAAAAATTTACCAGAAATTCATTAATTGTCGACACATACATCCGCAAAATATTTGTCCAACTTTCAATCTACAGCATTTTAAATCGACACCCGGTTTCATATGTTTTTGGTTTCATGACAAGCAGCCTACGTTGTTGCTTTAATGTTCTTTTTACAAAATCCTTAGCAAATTAAAGTTGACAAGCTTTTTACTATAACGTTTGAAAACTTTTTCTACTGAATTCAGGTGGTTTCCTAATTTGCCGACTGAAGGTAATTTTTTACTTGATTCACCGACTGTTTTTGGCCAGGGGTTTCCGCACCCCCTGCACCCTCAACGTAGCTACGACCTTACGAATCTTTTTCGTTCCGTAAAAACTCTGTGACGTTTTCAAGAACAAGCTGGATTAGAGACCCTGCTGTGGAAGCACCATTGTTCAACGATTGGCTTGAAACACCTGGGTTGAGCAAAGTCTGCGTGATACCCTCCCATCCCCCGGATTGTGATGGATCGTAGCAACCCGTTGCGAACGTTTTGTTGATCTCTGATTGGCTAGAAAGTTTATCTTCTCAGGGGACTTTTTAACTAGACGAAAACAGGAATTGGATTTGCTGTTCCGGTGTCGTAGATGTTGCATGTTGACGTAGATACCGTATAAACAGAAGAGAAGTTTTGGAGAAAAATGGCATCTCAAGGGAAAATGCAAGAGCTTGATGTGGACAGTATACTTCCGCTTGTTGGAGAATTTTCTCGCTTTCAATATGTTCTAGAAGCCATGCTATGCATTTCCATTATACCCCAAACACTTCAAGTTCTCATAATGTATTTTGCTGCGCACAACTCGCCATGGCGTTGCACACACAATAGCACGGTTTGCACTTTTCCGCAGAATATGACATTTAGCTCGGGTGATTCACTGTATGAAGAAAGATGCAAATTGGAGAGAAAAGAATGGGAGTTTGTCTATTCAAAAGATTACTCAATCATGACTCAGGTTTGTAGCTGTTTTATCTATTATTCTTTTCAATAATCTTTTAGCTAGCAGTGTCAATGCTAATCATAGGCGTATGGGGTGAGTTCACATAGGGAGATGCTCAATTTTTTTGCCCGAAGAATACTAACATCCATTTTTTACGGGGGAATGCTCTTACACAACATCATTAAAATGAGGCTAACTAATTAGCATTTTAAAAACATGACACGTTACCAAATAGCTTTCGAGGTTTTATTAAAAGAAATACGAATCTCTCCCACGACGGCGACGAAATAAGTCGACTATTTTATCGATATTATTTTCAAGAACATAATTTGAACAGTGAGGCTCGATATTCAAGATGGCGACATTGTCAAGTCTTTGCTGTTTTAGACATTGTAATCATGCATCATTTTAAGCAATCCTCACACTTTTTTGTTTGATCTATTTGATTTGCAGAATTTCTTTGGATAAAGATACATCCTTTCTGATGATTTCTGTTGGAAGGCTAGCATTCACACTTGCATTCCCTAATGCCAGGCAGTCTAGGATAGCTTAGTTTGATAACTAAGGGCCCCGGAACAAAAGAAGCCCAATATGCTTTTACGTACATATTTCTAAAACTTTGCTCAAATTCAAATAACTTTCCAAAATTTCTAAAGCTCTTCAACTGAAGCTCTATATTTCACCTTACACTAGCTAACAAGAAAAACTTGCTGTTTTTTAGCCTGTGCCCCAGTCCACAAATGCTGCTGCATTCATAAATTTGGTAGCATTTATGGACTGGGACGCAGGCTACGTCGTGTCGCTTTTTTGTGTTTTAACACAACAGGTTTCTTCGACATTATTCCATTACTACTGAGGCGCTCATGATTACGGTCACTTTACTCATCTCAGAGATTTATAGACGTGTTCACAATGTAGTTTTCTGATACTTTTTATCTTTGGAGAAGGCTCCTGTTCGATTCTTGCCCAAAAAAATTGGCTGCCCGAATCGAAAAGGGGGGCTTCAGCCCCCTCGAATCCCCGTCCCGCACACCTATGCTGCTAATGGTGAAAAGAACGGATTCAATATATTTCAACACCGAATTAAGTCACCATCGAACATACTGGGGTTTCCTTGCATTCATCTTCCGTAAAAAATATTTTCCATGCTATTGGAGAGAAATTGCTAGTTAGAGCTTAGTCAGGAAAGCACGAGGAATTTGTTTCGATCCACTCAATGCACTCTTCATTTCGTAAAGCTCTAAAACAATACAAGTTCAAGCTGGAGCTTCAAAGCCTCAGGCAGAACGGTGTTGAAATTGGCATGCAACAAAGGATGGGTATTGATAAAGTCCACTAGATACAATTGCGACTGCGTGATAAAGATTTATGCCCACTCATAATAGCCTGAGCCCCAGACTCCAAATAGACTTCTAGTTTGGGGTCTGGAACCCAGGCTAACTCATAAGCGCACGAGTGATGCAAAATTTTCTTTCCAAAACATACTTTCATTCATTTTGAAAAACCTCATGTACTGTTACCAAGAAAGAGGGTGATAAAGACTGAGTTTAGATAATGAATCACGGAAGAAAGTCTTGGAAACTCACAACCCCCGGCCAAATTTTTTGACTTTCTGTACAGAGGTGAATCATGAATGTAAAAGTGACCTTTCGAAAGCTTCAATTTTACGAATGCAGTTGAAGAATAATAAAGAATTGTGTTTGTCGCATTTGAGTTGAAAGGGAGTTCGGGTTTATCATCTGCACACCTAGTGGTTCATAAAACTAATCTTTGTCATTACTTAGATACTCAAAAGACAAAAACACAGTTAAAACAATAAAAATAGATTAACAAATAATTAGTAGTAACGAAATACTCTTGAGATAACAAAATTTCTAGATAAGTAGATAGTACTTTAATTCAGTTCGATGTTTTAATAGCCTTTTTGGATGCTTCAAGCGTGCCAATCTAGATCTTTCTTTCTTTAGCAAGAAAACACTTTGATTCAGAACTCCTCTAAACGCATCTTGTTGCTGAACACACAAGAAGCTTAACGTTTCTTATAATAATAAACTAAACCATATATTGACCTTTGAACATATCATGATATTAGATCGTAGCAGAGGGATACACGTAAAAGAGCCCAAAACGACACGTGATTTGTTATTTTACCCGAGAAGCAAATCCCCAAGCTAATCCTATCGTTTCATCTTAAAATAATATAAGTCCTTTTGGTTTCATTGAAATCTTGTACCCAATTTGCAAGAATGAATTGCCCTTCTGCTGTGCCGTACGCTTTCTGGCACCTGTTCCGCACTTTTCATTTGTATTTCATTTTGATGTTTCTTTGAGACAATACTTTACCATTGTGTTATTCGCTCAGCTGATCTCTTGCGAACTGCAACTGCAAGTAAGTGGGATGTTTCGAGTTAGATACATTGTGAAAATTTTCTGCTGTTAAGTTGAGCCAAGATTCTAAGCTGATTAGAAAAACTTAATCATAATTCAAACATTCTTTTCAATGAATGGGCTATTTCCGAACATAAAAACCGATGTCCTGGTCTCATCTGATATTGTGCCCTCTTAGCCTTTTGTTGTTAATATGTAGGATTATTTGTGCGTTTGACGAATCTCCTTGTAAATAGTTCAAGACTTTATTTACCCTTGCCTTTGCTTCTCTTAATCTAACTGAACTAATTTTCTTGTGCTTGAGATTAACAGGAATGTGAAAAGAGTTCCTTTGAATCATGTTAAGTTCGCCTTTTAAGTTAGGTTTACTTAGCTACTTCGAAGCCCCCTCTTGCACATCAGTGATGAATTTACTCTTTTCATAATCAACACTGATTCTCGTTGGCTATGCAATGTACTGCCTGTGTACCATCTTCATTGACTTCGACACAAGTCTCTAAGATTATTAGAGTGCTCTTGTCATCTGTAGAAATAGTCTTTACTTGCCAATTTCAAGTGTCAATGAATTTGAGGTATAAAATGGCAACTTCGCTTTAAGTCACTGAAGTTTAATGTCTGATGACAACAGCAGTCAGTCTGATGCAATAAGGGGGGCCATCAGTAACAGGTGATGCAATATCAATGCCTATCTTCTTGTCGAAGTTCACTTTAATTGCTAGTTGGACTGATTTTTAATTTAAATATGTTATTCCTTAGACAAGGTGCTCTTGGAAGTCTTTATTTTTTGACTGTTTGGTGTCATCCTTGGTCCCCTGTTCTCTCAAAGCGTACGAATAGCTAAAAGTTACAGCTTGAAACTGCACTTCATGCTCTTTCCAACATGAAAGGCTCTGAAAGATGATATCGTATCAATTATGATTCACATGAAATATTGTTTGGCTATGTACGGTCGACTGACTGTTCTTTGATATTAATGTAAAAGAACTCAGTTCAAAAATTTCAAACATAGCTGAAAAGGGCACGATTGGCATCTCTTTTGGACGAGAGTTTTGCTTTTTAGTTTGATTAAAATAATAAATAATACATCGGTTATAGTAACAGATGATTTCGCTATGTTTCCCTACATGTGCGAAATGGTGTCAGCCTTTTTTTGAAACTTGTGCGCTTGATAACGAGGTCAATCTCAATGGTAGCATTCGAAGGGGGAATCACGGGAAATCTCTTACACCTTTCGTAGAAATCTTATTGTCTTGTTTTGAAATCCTTTAAAATCATTTAGTCTTGGTCAAACCTTGTACGGTATTTGCAAGATTGACAAGGTTGGAAATTGATGGTTGAATCCCTAAACCTCTTATCCAAAAGTTGTCAATAATGAGAGACTAATAGCCGCTCTTATTCTGAGCAATATGAAAATGGTGAATCATGATATATGTTTAGAAAAGTACTCTTAATGGAAAAGAAGTTGTTTGGTGTTTTAAAAAGCTTTTGGCATTATTTAAGGGGGGAGGGGGAAGGTAGGGGGACTGAACCCTTTAGCACCACC